GATGAAGTATTTTGACATAGAAAGCCAATCTTCTGATTGTTAAAAAATTTCATAAATCAGAAATCCGATTTATAAATTTTTTGTCTAACAGTTACTTACCTAACACTGTATTTCCTCTATGATACTTTACAGAAGAAATTTAATCGTACATTTGGTATTAGTTTTCCAGATAGAATTTGTCGAATTCCATCAAATGAATTGTGTAACCGGAAACTTCACGAAATGCTATCACGGATTATCATTCTGTCAGGTTTAGTTGAGATTCTGATGGTTTTGCTGTTAACGGTAATTGGCGAACGTGAAGAAACGCATCAATTGCATGGCACACATTTTAGTAAATATTCTAAAAAATTTGTTTTTCTCATTTTTGACAAACAATTCTTTTCACAAAATCTTATACACAAAAGGAGTATTAAAATGTGAAATGAAATGAATAATTTGTATTTTTCGTTTTTCAATGACAAATATACTTGACAGATTGGCATGTTCACTTCTTCATGATATTTGCTCTCTCCAGCGCAATACATTTCACGGTTATTACAACGACGTATCGGAGGAGTAAACATTACGTGGAACATTTTAATGTAAGATTATTTTCACTGGCACATAAGCATAATTCCGTTATTCTTCTGCCTTTTTTTTTTTCTTTTTTAATTTCTGAAATGATCAAAATTATTAAAGTTATGGAGGCCATACACGTAATTTTACATAATGTTTCATTTAAACTATTTGTTGTGTTTCAGGGACATTGGAGTTTCAATTTAAAATTTTACTTAACGCTAGTTTATATTGCTTTGCTACCAGTGACATTCCTATTCTTTGCGATGTATTGGATTTTGTGCTATAATTTTGGTATACTCGAATCTATTGTTTCAAGCTAATGAGCCTAGTTTCTCATATTCTCAATTAGGATTACAAAAGTCTTTGTCAGGAGTACAAGCCTATTACTGCTGTGACTGTACCTTGTAATTACCTGATTATAAGTCTTTGTCACCTGAGAGCACAACTGTATCAAATCCGTTCACCGTAGCTGCTTTCGATCTCCTCACCACATTTGCTCAGCGATCTTCGCAAACTTACCACTTCGAAATTGACCACGTAGTAATAGTTGGTGTACAGTACTGATAAGTAACGTGTGCATCCTACGTGATAGTAGTAAGTTTTGATAGTTGATATGATACCTTATCTGTTAATCTAGTCACTTGCTAATCTATTGCAGCATATGATTTCTTCGCACTCTCGGAATATCTATTAATATTGGTAAATTACGCTTTCCATGCATCGGTAATTTATGACTGCGACGACATCTATCAGTTTAAGATGCCGAAACACTACAAGAATACTTAGGTTTGGAACATTTCCTTCAAATAAACATATCGCTACTCACATGTAAACCTTTCTTCTTATTTCTTAGACAGGTCGCGAAAGATAAAATTGTTCGTTGTTGCTATCTATTAATCCCACAAGAAAAGGTCTCAACCGTCTAGCAATACCTGATGACGAGAGTGGGATTCGAACCCACGCCTCCGAAGAGACTGGTGCCTAAAACCAGCGCCTTAGACCACTCGGCCATCTCGCCTCCCAACGCATTGAATCAAATCCGTCAGAATTTATGACCTCTTACCTTTTTAGATGTCTTCGACTATTCAGGCAACTTTGTTATTTGAAATAGTGACAGCACCAAATAAACACTTTATATTGCAATAACACATTTCTGCATCATACTTGCCATGCTAAACGTCACACCAAGAATCTCATTAAGCTCACAGAATTATTAAACTCCTGTGATACTCATATACTGGTGATTTGTTAAACTGTTTCGAACCCATATATATATATCATAAAGTGATATTCTTTTGGAAGTACGCAGCTTAATTTTATGTACTAACATCATAAATTTTATTTATATATTACAATAGTAACACAAAATAGAAATGTCAGATCAACTGAGAGCTTTATATTATCATACCTAGCACTATATATTTTCCTTCTAACAAACTGCATACAAATTGCGTAGACGATTTCCTTTTCGTTATTCTCGAACGCTACCAAAAAGCGATCCACCTTCATCAAGATCGGTTTCCAGGATGTTCTAAAAATAGAAATATGTGCAGTTTACTTGCAAAAAAGTAATACAAAACTACAATAATGCAAAAACTACAAAAGTATTTTTTGACTTCTCAGAAATACATGTTTACGTGTTTGTAGATGATTTCAAATTTTATGAAAGCTATTCCCATTACACTAACAGATAGAAGAAGCGCGTGGATTTAGAAATCAAATTTACAGTTTTTAATAAGAATCCCCATTTCCCCTTCACATAGAAGATATTTCTGCATCTTATATAAGAAATCGTAACAATCTTAGCAGCCTACCAAGTAAATGTCGTAGAGACTCTTATCTCCCTGTTGTTTACGAAGAATTCGTTCTTTCTCTGCCTCTTCAAGCTTCTTCTCATGTTCTTTTTGTCGCACAATTGCATGTTTCTCGCAAATCATTTGATAGCGGAAATATCCCCAAACAACACCTAATCCTTAAATTATCTTGGAATTAGTCAACTCACACTTTACTTGAGTTTGCTAGCTGAGCAACGAGACAATAGCTCCTTAAAGACTTTCTAATTAAAACTACCAGACAATGTTTATCCGTTGATTTAGACGTCAATACATTCCTCCGATCGTAACTCATTTTCTGTCCATATAATTAATTTCAAAATCTAAAATTATAAAAGCATAAACAAAAATACTAATTTCTTGTGAATTTGTAAAATTACCAAGGAAGGAATAACGCATAAACCGCAACAGAGGTGATACGTGAATTGGCGATGGTAATATAATTTTGGTCGGATCCGGCTGAGAACTCATTTTTTCCCAGCTTAAATGAAACGATGTTAACATTAAAATAAAAACAGAATCATAAAAACTTCACGAAAACCTACAAAGCTGAAATAACTTTAGCCATTACAATTAAAAAACAGTACTGTCAAACTGAACTCAATAAAGTTAGGACACTATAGATAATGTCACGGTATACAGAGAAAAATATTTCAAACAGTAACAGTAACTAGTTCCGAACAGTAACAGTAACTAGTTTATTTTCCAGTTCTTTTCAGTAGCTAAATAATTTCACACAAGATCTTGGCGTCATATTTCGTCTGGTGAGAAAATAGAATATAATAAATAAAGTGCAGCGCATTATTTTATTTATTTATATTTTGGTTAGTATCATCTCTATAACTGTCATATGTTACACTATGTTATTTCCTGACCGATCTTAAAGAAAAATAAAGAAAAAAATCTTTCAAGCTGAAAGGATTTTGCACTATTTTATCTCATTATCTTGGAAAATTTATTTATTTCAGCAAAAAAATCGAAGTAATTCTTAATGTTCAGCATCGGATTCGCTATTTTTTCCGTTGTAAAACATGCTAACATGCTAGCTACTGTTTAAGAAATACAAACTGCAAGAATTCTCGACCTCTGTTAATGCAATCTTTATTTACTATGGCATCATTACGATTGTTTCATTACTTTCGGTCTCCAACTGATATATTTTCAAACGTAAAAGATTTGTCACTCTGAAAGACATTCGCTTTAACATCCTAGCATAAAATATACGTCATGAACCACTTTCCCTCCAAGAACTTTACCAGATACAAGAACAAACACTAACAGCACGTGATCGTACGTGAGTAACTTTTGACTAGCGAGGAAAACACTTGACTAATGAGGAAGACATAATGTACGCTCGACACTCGTAATATACCGAGTAGCGTGACATACCACGGGAATGTCCTGTTATGAAAATTGGCGTTCCGTACTTTCGAGATTTAAATAGTTGTTTGGAAATAAGACGTTTCTTCCCTTGCAGATCTCTTATTTGCATCATTCCTTATTCATGCTTTCCTACTTACTTGGATATTCAGGGAAGGAGAAAAGTGGAAGAGGTTAAAGGTCAAATGACTAAAAAGATGTGAAATGTGATGTAAGAAGTAGAAAGCAAAGAAGGGAAGACAAATAGGAATTCAAAGTGCATAACCGCTGAAATGGGATATTTTGTGAAAAGAACGCAAACTCAGTTATATAAGTTGTAGCTGGGCTGTTTATTAAGAATTATAGGTAAATATTTACCCATGAAGGGTAAGGGAGAAATTTAAAACTACCCAAATTGATGACAATAATAGTAAGCGTTTATTCGCAGACATTAAACATTAAGCAACTGTCAACAACACACCACAAGAAGAAATGTTGGAGGGCGAAAAAGTGAAAGGTTAAAGGTTAAGAGAAACAAAAAAGACAGAAGGAAACTAAAAAATGAAGGAGAAAAAGGGGAAAAGAAGGAAAAGGAAGGGAAAAAAGAAGATAAAGCGCAAGAAGGAAGAAAGGTTAATTAGTTATGTTAATTAGGCCAAATTACCTGTCCTCAATAATATCATTTCCTGTCGCTGCTAATTGTGCTGTAGCCAGCTAACTAATAATTTCAATCGCTTCCCAGGTATTATTTCAGGTACGAGCTACCTACCAACTATTTCTGACTCCAAAGCGAGTTTTGGCTTGGGTAGCTGTTGCCTGGAGAACGGGTAACTACGGGAGAGTGGAGGACTAAACATGCATAAAGATACGGGGATGAGTGACACTAAACCTGAGCAGAATCGAAGTGGTCCTCAAAGGATTCATAATATTTAGATTCAATTTACAAATTCTTACTCAAATTTAAATTCATTTTGTCATTTCATACATAAAATGATTTCACATCACAAGTTAGAAAGTCTACGGTGATATTAACAGGAGTATAATAACCAATGACCAGTTATCTTAGTGGACATTACTTAGAGATTCGCAACATTTTTTCCTTTCTCATTCTTCGTCAATTATTATTCAACGATTTATCACGACAAAATAATTATTTCCTCTGGACAGTGCTATGTATGACAATTAATAAACGATCATAAAGTAACTACTCCATTATTAAAATCTCATTGTCATCAGAACATTTGTTTATTAGCTGCGAAATTTAGATATTACTTTGTCCAAATGAGTTTCAACAATCGCGAATACATCTTGCACTGTTCCTTCTGATGTTATCTGCAATTAATTACAGTTTTATATTCCGAATTTCAAACAAAATAATCTTTTATGATATTGCATAATTATATCAACTCTTTTTTTTATCAGTTACTGATAAAGTTCTGGAGTTTCATGGTACTATATAGCTTCAAAACGTTTCAAGAATGTCTACAATGTACAGAAGCATAAGTTCGAAAGTTTTTAGAACATTTATCTTTCTTTTTTTATTTCATATTTAATTACTTACGTTTACGGTGTTATTAAATTTTGAATTTCTACTCACAATAATATTATCTTAACAAAAATTCTAGTGGAATAGTTTCAGCTTTTAAAAAAAGCTGAAATAAATTAATTGCAGGAAATAAATTAGTGAAGAAATCAGCCGGGAAATCATTTAATGTTAAAATATTTCCTATTAAAATCTATATAATATTTAGTGAGTCCTTTATTTCAGTTTTATTTTTTGTATTTTCAATTAGCACTAATGAAATTAATATTTCACCTGTAGAAGCTTTCCTTTTTGGTTATAGTAATCAACTACCGGGGTACTAGCAATTTCATATGTTTTCAATCGTTTTTGGATTGTTTCAGAGCTGTCATCAAATCGGCCACTATAAAATTTTAATTTAAGATATTCTAATTAAGAATCCTAAAAGCTCCACCAATAATTCACTAAATATTTTATTTCTTATATGATGATGATAATTAAACTTATAAACATCGCAAATTTGGCTATTATAATGGAACCTTATTTTTTGTCGATTCATACAGCGTTCATAGAGTACTTTCTTATCAGCTTTAAAATAGATGACGAGATCAGGTGATTGAACCTATAAATTAAGCAGCATGTTCAGTTCTTCAAATCTAAATTCACAGCTTTCATTTACTTTTTTTTTCCTGAATATTGAAACAATCAAATACTAATTTGCTGAATATAAAAATTAGCTGACCTCACGTTCAAATTGTTCTCCCTGAATAATTTCACGTGGATAACCATCAATTAAAAAACCTCGACTGCCATTTATCGTTGCTCGTGACATGGCTTCCTTCAGTAAATCTAGCACAATTCTCTAAAAGTTAATATTTATATGATTTAATATCCATTAGAAATGAAAATTAAAAAGTACTTTTGCATTAAATTAAAGTTATATCAATAAAAGATCCCATGTTGGTATTAAATTCATATTTTTCAATATTGCTATTATCTCTTTTTTTATTACTCTTATTATGAGTTATTTATTACTTTTAATTCACATCCCTATCCCAATCTTTCATAGAAAGAGAGACAAACAGATAGAGAGAGATACAAAAAAAAAAAAAGAGAAGATATCTTGTATACCTATAAAACATGTTATAAATCATAATAATTAATTACCGCTGGAACAAGTTCCCCATTTTGCATCATTTTTTTCAATGAATCGGCTCTTGCACCACACGATTCCACTTCGTTCCGTAAAAGATCTCCGGTACTGAGATGCGTTAAACCGTATTTTTCAACCATTTTAGCACATTGCGTTCCTTTTCCGGCACCAGGTGCACCTATTTCATGAGAAAGATAATCTTAATTGGAATAATCTGAACAAAGTTTTGTTAAATTTTGCATTTCACTTACTGAATATTATATTATTCTTAGAAATGAAATAAAAATTGCTATAAAAAGTTTTTTTTTTTGAAATTTTGATAAGATTTTTTCATTATATACCAATGATAAAGATTATTGGAATTTGCGCTTTCCGGACGACATCTACTTTCTTCGCAATACTAGCCTGAATGGGTGATGTTGACGAATCTACTGCCTTAGCGGGTATTCCCACATTTGATCGATTTATTTGTAATTCAAATCTAAAACATAAAACATTGAAAGGAAAAAAGAAAAAAAAAGTTTTTCTATATTCATCTCTCTAACTTCTATTTTACAACTAAAATTTTAAGGGAAACATCGAGAATGAAGAAATATGTCAGTAATACTTGAAAATTTAAATAAATTGTAAGAGGAATATTCAAAAAATAAAATAAAATGCAACTTACAGTGAGACAATTTCTCGAGGTTTATAATGTAATAATAGAAAAATTGGTGCTAAAATAGTATCGCGGAAACGATTTGCTCCATCAGTTTGAGGTAGAAACAAATATACACAGAATGTGCACTACAGTTAAATATATTTAAATACATTTAAGAATGTACATTTTATAATTAAATTCTATTACAATATGAACAAATTTTTTCAAATGATAACACAGTGATTACTTTAATTGAAATAAAGTAAAATACATTTACATTCATTAAATAAAATTTGCAACTTAATTCTCCAGAAATATTCTAATTATCAACTTGAATACATATTTTCAAATTCTTTTATTAAATTATTAAAAAAAAAAAAACTGGAAAAGGAAAGAAAAAATTAATGTCGATGGATGTTTTCTACTATCAAAGGGTCCCGAAATTGGCTACCATATGATTAGGTAAAGTCAGAAAAATTACATAAAAGAAGAGATAGCATGGATCAAGAAAAAATAATTTGTAATTAAAAATTATTTGAAATAAAAAGGCTTAAAATTATACCAAAATAACGATTATTTTCTGCAATTTCAACCTTTTCTTTTTTATTCTATTAAGTACACCTTATTTCCAATTCAATTAAATTTCAGATTTAAGTCTGAAAATACCTTAACAAGCCAGTAAATCGGTATAATTCGATTGATAGTATCAGCAAATTGATCGATCAGTGTAAATGTGCCAAATATTGTCCAATACAATAGCCATTTTAAGGCATGTTTTGTTGATTGTTCATCTATTTTCTAAAAAATTGCATTAAATTTCAAAAACACTTTCTTATATGTGAAAACCGAAAATAACAAAATCAACAAGTCTCGAAATATTTGTCTCGACGAAAAAAAAAAAAATAATCCATTAATTTATGAAAAATTTTTCTTTTTTCGCTCAAAAAATTCGAAACATTTGGATCAGTTTGTAGGAAACATACACGAAGACTTTTGTAGGCTGGATAAATAAAGCAAATAAGGTCGCAAACGAAATGACTTTCTGATCCAAATATCAAATACAATGCCGTCAGAACTATTATTCCATAAGCAAACTATTAGAAAAGCAAAATTCCATAAGCAAACTATTGTAATTGTGAACAAGAATGTCTCAAATAAGTTTTTACTTTAACAACTAACTCATTTACTTAGTATGAAATGATTAAAAAATGAAACAAAACTTTCTCTTGTCATTTCTTTTGTTTACATTTATTCTAATCATCACCTGATTAGATTGAATTAATACTAACTTTTGTCCTTGAATAATTATAGATAAGCTTATATATACTTAGCACACAATTTTATTATGATTTTATTGATGGAAATATACTATTAAATGAATTTATAATATTATATTGGTATATAATTTTTTAGTTCATGTTAGCATTAGCTTCTTTGGCTAATTAATAAGTGGTTGAAAGAGAAAGACGAGAATTAATCTCGTTGCATTAGCAAATTTCAGAAAAGATTAACATTTTCTCGAGTGATACCAATATTCCTTTCTAATACATTAACACACTTTTCTGTTTGTGGCGATAAATTATGCAATGTTTGCGAGAAGATTGATTGAACATCGTTCAATGTATCTTTCTTAACTTTTGATTCATTTAACAGCCTTAACAAATAGAACAATCGGATGGATGGATGGATGGAATGAAGGACAGATAATAAATAATTTATCTTTCTAAGTCAACGAATGCTTTATTATGGAAAATAGTATTGAAATTCGTCCCTTATAAGTCAATTAATTAACTTATTCAAAAATATTTACTAATTTCAGAAGTAACATTGCTATACAATTAATTAAACTTTACTTTACACCATGTACATATATATATGTACGAAAAAACCCATAAAAAAATATTTTAAAAGTTTAAAATTTTACAAGCTAAGAAAATACATAAAAAGATGTATTTCTCTTTTTTTTCTAACAAAACAGTCTTACAATAAACGTATTTTACAATTCGCTTCCCTTTTTCATCTTTAAAGAAACAGCGCAACTCACATTGTCAAATAATTTGGAAATGACACATTTTGCAGGAATAAAATTCTTTTATAATCTTCCGACAATGCTAATACTTTTAGCCTTATCATATGATAATTTTTAAGCAATTACTGATTAAAGTATCTACTTTTTCCGTTTTTTTTTTTAAATCACAAAAGTAATGCAATAGAAATGAAGGATTGTTTCACTATTTTTATTTACAGATTTTACTGCAAATATCTTAAATGTTCCCATCTTACTAAGATGACTGTTTGCCGTGCATCCGAAACAAAATACATTTTGATTACAGATATAAATAACTAAAATATTAATCATAGACATATGAACTCGCATAATCAGAACTTTCATTTCTCTTTTGAATTTGGAAACTTTTGTCATCTTAATAGCGACCGGCTTTAGTTTCAAATACAGCAATGAGAAACTACCAATGTAACTTTGAAGGATTAATCGAGATTTACAATGAAGTATTTGAAAGAAAACATAACAAAATGAATACTAAAACGAATAACAATCAAGCAAAAAAAAGTGTAAAATAAACAGTTAGCAAAATAACAGCAAACTTATTTACATAACTTTTTCTGGAATTCATTTCAGTGAGACCTTTTTGAAATTACTTTCAATGACTGCAGTGAGTTTCGCCTTACACAGGTTACTTTGAATTATGGAACAGTTGATCGTGACAACGATTATTTATATATGACGGAGACCTAAGTTTCACATTCTCTTCAAGTGCTAGGAAAGTTAGTTCTGGAAAGAAACAACAAGAAAGACAGAGAGAAAATTTTGGAAAGAACAAGATGAAAGATCAATTAATACTAAGTGAAATATAACGACATAAACATTTAAGAATGATTTATTAACTTAGAAATAGTATACTAAATCAATGCTTGATTCTATGATCATTCCTGTTAGGGATAATCTTTTTATCCATTAAGCTAACATAGCCATCTGAGTAGGCTAACGATATTCACCAAAACTTCTTCATATTTGAAACACTACGTTTTGCAATCGCTTTCATTAATCAAACATGATGAATAGGGAATGAAAATTGTATAACTTTGCAAGGAACTGATTTGAGATAAAAATCGGTTCCCAAACAACAGTTTGACAATTGCTGATATAAAGTTTTCAAAAAATGGATGGAAATAAAAAATCTAACAGGTAAGTGCATGTACTATTGACATGGTGGTGCAGGAATAAACAAGTGAAGGATATTGATTAATGGAAACATTGCAATTGAACCCAGAAGAGATCCAACCTGAAAAAAAAATTTAAGTGTGAATAAAAGTCAAATAAATGAAGTACACTGCAATATAAGATAAAATGTTCTCTCATCTCTTCTAATCTTTCAAATTTTACTCTATTCAATTTCTGTATGTTTTTCATATCCCTGCCACTAGCTTAAATATTCAACGTCACGACAATAGATTTGAAGTTGAAAAGTTAAAAAGAACCGACAATGGATTCGAAGTCTAAAAAAGATACTTATTCTTGCAACAAAGAAACTTAAGAAAGCATATCATTAACCGTTTAAATTTCAGAAAACTTATCAAAAAGCTGAACTTTCTGCAAAATTAAACTTTTGGAGTCTAAAATCTCAAAAAATATCTACCTGTATAAATAATCCACCCCAGAAAAGCCTCATTTCCCTATCATTTGTGTCATTACCCAATACAGTTGCTAGAACTGTTCGAAGGAATGAATTCAATGCTACAGAGCAAACCACCACAATTATCTAAAATTAAAATAAATAAAAATTTATTTAAACCTTTTTTCAGTATTTATTTGCTTATCTCAACGATGTTACATCACAAAAAAATTTTTCCAGTTTTTTAATCTACTCATCGAAACGTAATAAAATGTAAGGCAAACTGATAAGAAATAACAACAAATAATACTGATATGTATGTAAAAAAAATTGTTTAAAAGTTAAATTTCTAAATTCTGACGGCTCACTACGATATAAAAAGATGAATCCTTCAAAGTGAAGTGAGGGGAAAAACCAGGTTTAATTATAAAAATCAACATACAATGAGAACAGATCCCCATGCAGAAAATTGCAAAATGGGTGTCGGACTCATAGCTGCAAAAGCGATAATCAATCCGGTTAGCACTGTTGATACCATCGTTAGTGACACCAACATAGGTAAACCATTAATTTTCACAAAAAGGGGTAAAAAGCAAACAATTGGTGAAACGATATTCGATAATGTTAAACCAAGATGGTATGTTTTCTGCAAAAAAAAAAAAAGCTAGAATAAAAAATAAACAAAATCGATAGTGAATAAAGCATCGATATATGCAAAACCGTTTAAGTATTGTCAGGATTGAAAAATATGAGGAAACAGATCTATGGTAAATCTAGCAAACAGACGGACACACCTGGCAAATTGCTATGATGATACAAGCATGTAAGCGTCAGAGCAATAAATTAACCATGATGGTACTGGTATTCAGTTCAGAGACTAATGAAGTTTAACAGAATAAAGATATCCAGTTCTATAAATGAAGAAGGAATATAAAAAACAATTCAGTTTGAAAATTATCGAATTCGAAAGTCTCACAAAACAAAACCTGAGAGAAAGGCAATGATGCGTAACTTTGAACACTCGGAACGATTCCATTCATTTGAGCACTTATGGATGCTATCAAAAATAATAATAATATGAATCGTAAGTTATTAGTACGTGATCTATTTTCAGTGCCATACGTTTCCGCACACTGCTGGAAAAAAATATAAGAGAAAACATGATTGACTGCATAACTTTATGGGCTATCATTGCTAAATATACTCTTTATACCCAAATGGAATTCCGAATCCAACTTGATCATTTCACGGTGACATGAGAGTGGCAGTGATAACTAGTGTCAGAAGCAACGGGATATATTTCTAAAAAACTATACAATAAACAACAAGTTGGGACCCGTGGATTGGTTAACAAGTTAAGATTAATGGCTAGACATAGGAATTTTTCTTTCTGAAAGTTCACTTTTACTACTATTGCCAGATGTAATAGTGTTACAAAAACTATCTCAACAATATAAAAAATAAACAAAAAAGCAAGCTAACATTCAAAGGATTAAATTCTCTACTGCTGGGTGAGCCAGGTTCATCAACTAACGGAGATAATTTCTTAGGTGACTGGTCCGTTGAAGGTTCTTTTTTTCCGGCAATTTTAGCATTTTTAAGAAAAATTAAGCAAACAAATGCAACGGTAGCAAGAAGCATCCAACTAAGCATTATGAAATTAAATTCTTTAACGCCAAATTGTAAAATACCACTGGTTTGTATCGACGTTCCATTTACAACAACGCAATTATTACCACTGCCTAAAAGATAAGAGATAAATAGAACTGCGAATAAAATATTAATTACTGCCGTCTATGTATGCTTTCTGTAAAAAAGCTAGAATAAAGAATTTTTTTTAAAAGAAGGATTAGTCTACTGGATATCATTTTATTCTTAATACGACTAAAACCAGACGGAAATTTACCGAATAAAACTTAGGAATAGTAATATTAACCGATAGACTACCAAATTTAATTCGAATAATCTGCACTTTTTTATTAATAAGCAAAAATAAGTAGAAAAAAAGAACCTTGCAAAATCGAAACAATACTCGGAAATAAAGCACTTAAGCCCATGCCAACAAAATATGCCGTTAAGTAAGAATCATGAAACGTAGCCATATATGGCATGAAAAGTACATTTGATGTTGCATTAACTAATGCCATACCTGAAAAGCGATACAATCAACATCATCTATTTCATGCTATCTCAGATATTCTCCAAAATGATACAATTCATACCAGATACTTAACACATATGTTTTCAAGGAACTTTAATGGAAATTATGATCTTTGTTACTTGCTAGGATTAGAGTATGTCCTTCATAGGCAATGAATGCATTATGTAGCTGAAGTTCTGTTCTGGATCAGCGTATTTTCCATACAGTTATATGGCTATAATATGTCGCAGATATACTATAATCAGTATACTATTCTCAATTCATTTAAATCATCTTTACATAACAGCACACTTAACTCTAACAAAAAAGATATGTACCAAAAAGTAGGATCATTAGTACGACAGATCGTTCTTGCCCAAACAAGAAGATGGTTTGAGACCAAAACAGTGCCATTAGCACGGTGCACAAACAGCAAAATATAAGTAATGTTAAGATCATAGCTGGTATTGGAATAGATACTTTTGATAATTTACGTATGATACTGTAAATCAATGGACCAATAGAAGCAATCTGAAACATTTGAAGAAAAAAAGGCGATGCACATATTTAATTTCATTAACATTTAACTCTATTGGTATGGTGTTTGGATATATTATTAAGCATTAGTCGACTGGATTTAAAAAAAAACCTGCCCATTGCTGCTGCCATACTTATACACTTAATTAACTAAAAAGTTCCTTAAAAAGGTTGTCGTTTTTTAGTTAAAGAAGCATTTTATGAATAGAAAGAGAAACGCTACTTTATGTCAGAAACTTTTTGACACACACGGATACAGTCATTTGTCTGCTTAAATTAGCATGACCCCAAAAAAAAGACATAC